CTAAGCATAAGGGATTGGCCTCCATAATTTCACTTCTGTACTTGTGTATAGAATGGTGATGAAAAGAAATAAACTGAGCGAATATTTGGTTTGTGAAGTTCAATGAGAAAGGAATTCCTTTTATACACAAGAGTAGGAGATAGAGAGGGTGGTTCTGAGGTTGGCAGTTTTAGGTTTTAATAGTCAAGATTGCAGGGACAAACTTAGAGGTTGTTGCACCCACTGCCATATCAAACTGAACAATTTTCATTTCTGCTTCATACCAAAGTCTTCTTTCTAAGTTGGATTATTTCACGTCTCTAGTCGACACTATCTTATTAAGAATTTTCAGCATCTTTATTACTTTCTTTGTTATCATATCTATATTTCCCACCAATATGCACAAACTTTTCTCAACACTTTAATCTCCCCCCCTCTTTTACTCCTGGTCTAGATGACAACTACGTAATATTAATTGATATCATTTTAAATGTAAAGGTAAGTATAAATTCATAATGATTACGAGTCTAGATAAATAGTATTATAGATCAAAATATGTTATGAATTGATGGCAAGATAATGATAATAATAAAATAAACAAAAATAAATAAGAACACCAAAATTTATATGAAAACCCAAGATGAGAAAAAACTAAAAGAAGAAGAGGAAAATTTCACTATAATCAATAATGAATGTATTTACAATATCAAGATCTCAATGTTCCAGATGTCCACTTTCGTTAATTTTGTCTTCAAGGTATTTTTCTTCATTCCAAAGTTCTTTTTCAAGTCAAACTCTCAATCCCTAATAAAATTTGATCTCCATTAATTAGAACTTTCAAAACCAGAACTCCTTAAACTCTTTCTATTCAACCAAACACCCAAATCACATCGAATTTGGGTCACACCGCAAAAAATCTACTACTCACTTGCTACCTATAAATTATGCAAGATTCACAACTTATAAGCACTTAAAAGATTTGAGGTTTTTCAAGCATCATGTAACATCTCTTGTTTGTTTGTTTTGAATTTGATGTTACATAATATTAAAGGTTGTTGACAAAATATTGACTGGGACAAGATCGCTACTTTGACCAAATGTGCCATTTATTCATCTTTATATCACTAAAATGTGTGAATTATAATGACTTTTTGAAATACTTTTCACGATGTCAACGAGTATCCCCCATTCATACAAAAATGAGATAAAAGAATACTGTTAATACGAGAGATTACTTTCGAACCATGGAATTAAATGGATAAACGGCTATGGTATTGAAAATTTCACATGGTATAAAAACATTTACGAATTCATTTTTATTAATAAATCAAACATTTTAGTCACTTTGAATTGAAGAATGTGAGGTTTTGGTGAAGACTACAAAGAATTTAATGCATTTTAAGTTGGTAAGTTAGTTAATGACTTTCCATGAAGCTAGAAAAAGGCCAAAAAAGATATACTTGTCGATTAGTTAGATAAGGAAGATTAATTGACAGAAGACACAAAGATTTTCAATCAATATTTCTATCGTAAGATTTCAATTTTCTGTTAATTGGGCTATCGTTTTCTTCTAGTAGTTAAAAGTGGGTGTGAATTTTCATGATAATGACATAATAATTATTATGAAAATGTGCATCGAAATTGCATGCCATGCCATGATAGTAGAAGGTGTACCAATTAAAATCAACTAAGCATTTATTTATTTTAGTTACGTACGTACATGCCTCCACAATCAAAGTTTATAGTCTAAACGAAGTTTCCCCTACCTCATTTTTCCCAATGAATGCTTCCTTTACATTCAAACTTAATTTAAATGCACGTTTTGATAATCAAATGGAACAAAATAAATTTGAGAAGCCGAAAAAAAGTAAGCAATATAATCATTTTCGACCTTACATTTCATGGTACCTACAATTTTTACCACACATATAATCATTTTTTTAATCAAAATTTACTAAAAATTTGATATTTATCTAAATCAAACAAAGTGTTATTTACGTATTAAATTCTATTTGCAATTAAATGATGTCCTAATTGTAGAGAACAATGAGTTTTTTTTTTTTTTTTGGTTCATTTTCTATATTGGTTTTTGGTTCCTTAAAGAGTTCTAAATCTGAATTATTGTCTATATAATCACAAAAAGCTAATTAATTATTTGATATTGGTTACTTAAACTTCACAAACATATGAATAATTTTTACTTTTTGTTGTTAAGAAAAATCGTATATTCCTTTGAGTTTGGACGTATGTTGTGCTTCCATAGCTGATTTGAATGTTGTCATTCATGCATGATGACAATGGGTTGGATCAGGTCGGGTCGGGTCGGGATAGTCATGCTCGTCTCCGGCGCCGTTGAGTATTTTTTGTCTCTTTGTCCCGTCCCATGCCTGATTAAGGAGGAGCGGAGCAGAGACGGGATGGGGCGGGGCTGCAAGTATCAATTAATTATATTTAGGATGTGTTTGATTAACTTTATTTTCGTGAGAAATGTCATTTTTCATCAAAATTAGTACTTTTGGAGTGTTTAGTTGATATTTTTTTCATGCAAAATATTTTTCAAAAGTTGGCCATATGATCATATTTTCTTCAAAAAAAGAAACACATTTTTTTGGGAGTGGTAGGTTTTTATTTTCCAGACAATTCTCTCTCTCTCTCTCTCTCTCTCATCTGCCCGCTAATAAAAGATAGAAAAAACTTATATTTTTTCTGAGTTGATAATTACATCAATTAAACACATTTAATTAATAATTTTCATGTAAATAAATTATAGGCAATTGAATTGAATTGCCTATAATTTATTTACTTTTCATGCAAATTTTATGCTTGTAGCCAAACACACCCTTAGAGTTATTGTTGGAAGAAGCTATGGTGGGAAAATGATTGCGCATTTCAAGTCCAAAAGGTTCTACGACTTTGACATCAATGTCGAGATAGACGTTTGGACTTATTTTTGTACATAGATTTGGTTCTATCCTATATCTACGAGAAGGTAATTACTGTTATATAACTTTATCGTCTAGAAGTCTTATTGTTGTCCTTACATGGTGGTGAACTATTACTACTTTTTCCTTTTCTTTTACTTCTGACGAACTTTGTAAGAGACTACATTACATATTAGATTAACTTGTGATCTGGGCTTTTATGTACTTTTCTTAATAATACATTAATGGAAATGGAAGTAATAATATAGTTAGAAATGACGGACTCAGACATTTTGAGTTGTGGGCAGTGGGCACAATCAAATTTACAAAAACGTTGTGAAAAATTTAAAGTACTGGATATCATATTACAATTCCACACATTCACATACTTTGATAATGTTTCGTAATTATATTTGTCCTTCACAACTTTCAATTTTGCTTTAATATTGTTATTATCTCCTTAGATTTGACGTTTGCTCTCACTTTCTCATTTTTTTTTTTCTCCATGTGGTTCATTTCAGTTGTCTTCGTTGCAACCTCCAATTGATCTGATTTCATTTTCTACTCTTCCTCAAATAGCCCGCATTCTCTTACATTCCAAACTCAAATCGTTGCCTTTTTAAATTGATAACAACCAAATGTTTGTCAAGAACTTTATGATCCACTATGTACATAGTCTTCAAATATAATGGCTTGTTTTGTTGACATAGCGTCCGAAATTGTTTCAAAAATCTATATGATTTCTGTTATGTCTTGGGAACCATGCTAACACCTTCATTTGTTGACTTCATTAACTGCAATTCATCCCAATAAAATTAGGAAGTCGTGGTTGTAACATTGTTTGGTATCATCTCTAACAAATTCTTTGTCAAGGCCCTAATGCCATTTTGTAGAAAACAAATGAGCACACTTACAAAAACACTCCAAGAGGAAAAAAGTTTATTCACTTGAATAAATTAATTTTTATTCAACATACTTTCTCTTACAATTGCTTCGATCTTTTTTTCTCAATAGAAACTTGAGACTCATATTTATACTTGTACAAAGAATAATCTATTTAATGTGCATACATGAATTCGACATATAATTCATGTAACATTATAGATGAATTTATGCACTCTAGATCTAATACATTTTAAGTGTATTATGAATTTTATTAATATAATAGATTCACAATCTTTCTTTTAAAATCAATGGTAAATAGACCACCAATGTTCAACGTATCATCTTTAAGATTTATAATAAATCTAGAAAAATACAATCAACTTTAAAAGTCGGAAAAAATTCTAAGTTGAGCAAATATGGCTGATTAATCATATATTCCCAGATTTATATCGTTATGAACTAGTTTCCTGGGGGGAAGGCACATCTCCAAGTGGTAAAAGAAAAATGTGAAAAAACTCTAATTTTGCTTGAGGTTGTCACGTCAATGATTCGAATGCTGAAATATGGATTTAGCCATTTGGTAAGTGCAAGTGTACAAACAGCATTTCACCATGTATCTTTAGAGACATAAGATGCGATTTACCTCTTTCATCAAGTCTCAGGATAGGATAAGTGGGGCCGTCAAGGAAGCGGTTCATCTTCTTTTTTTTTTTTTTAATACTTGATCAAAGGACTAAAAAAATCATATATTATTACAAAATTACAACATGATTACAAAATCATATACTTGGTGGGTCATGTTTGGGTCCGCCCATGGCTAGACTGCTTTGATGTAAAAGTAACATCCCGCAGCAATTAAAGTGCAAACTACGGCGGGTTCTTGTAATCGAAATTAAAATTAAAAAGGATGTAATAGGTTAATAAAGTTTCCTGACACGTGGTTCTCACGTGGCAACACAACACCGTGCAGTCTCTTCCATCTCTTGACACCGCGAAGGAGCGGGAACGGACTAGAGGGAGGAACAGATTTGTGGGGGGATTGGTATCGGGTTAGGGGGAAGTTAGAAGAGGAGTTGATGAGATAGGGGTTTTGGGTGAGACGTTTTTACAGTGGGAGGTCGATCCTGCTCTGAAAAATTTATCTTGACCAGTAATTCTTCATTGCTTTGGTAAAATACTCTGCCGTAGATTTGCAATTGGTAAAAGGAAAGAATAATGATGGGATATGAGAACCAGGGCTTTGAAGAAGCCCATCTTTATGCATCAAAAGAAGAAATGGCTTCATTAGTCCTCAACGAAGATCCATCACCACCGTCCAACGGCTCAAAGTCGTTTCCTCATGACCCCCTTTCATCATCTCCACCGTTCGTTGAAATTCCGACCGACGATACTGATCCCCTACACCCGCCTTCAGCGAATCAAGTTCTTCCCAGTCACAGCTCCATTAATTCCATCCTCGAACCCCCGTCTTATGCTGACGCCATCTTTCGGTCATTTGACTCTGATTATGTTGCTTCTCCTGAAGTCAATAGCCAAGATCAGTCCTTGTCGGCATTGCCATCGTTTTCGTCAGATTATATTAAAATCTGTGTTTCGGATCCACAGAAGGAGCAGGAGCAATCTGGGTCACTTGTGCCTGGAGGGAGCTATTATTTCACATATTTGATTACCACTTTCACAAATTTGCCCGAGTTCAATGGGGCGGAGTTCAATGTTCGAAGAAGGTTTAGAGATGTTGTAACTTTGTCTGACAGGATATCAGAGAGTTATCGCGGGTATTTTATACCAATTAGGCCTGACAAAAGTGTAGTCGAGAGCCAGGTGATGCAGCAGAATGAATTTGTGGAGCAAAGGCGAATAGCGTTGGAGAAGTATTTGGGGAGGCTGGCAGTGCACCCGGTGTTAAAGCGGAGTGAGGAGCTGCGAGTGTTTTTGACAGTTTCAGGGAAAATGCCGCTGGCAAGGACAACCGATGTGGCATCGAGGATGTTGGATGGGGCGGTGAGGCTGCCCAAGCAGCTGTTTGGCGGAGAGAGTGTAGTTGGAGGAGCAGCGGAGGTTAGTGAGGTGGCGCTGCCCGCAAAGGGCGGGAGGGATTTGTTGAGAATTTTCAGGGAGTTGAAGCAGTCAGTGGTGAATGATTGGGGCGCTACTAAACCTCCTGTCATTGAGGAGGATAAGGAGTTCTTGGAGAAGAAAGAGAAGTTGCAGGACCTTGAGCAGCAGATAAGCAATGTGTCTCAGCAGGTTACTTCTTATCCGTCTTATTATTATGTATTTTTGGATCAGACAATATAAATTTTTACCCATGTATTTGTCAATCCGTCGTCGCATATGTTTGTTGAAAGGAAATGAGTTTGAAATAGGGCTTTTGGATTAATTAGTCCTCAGGTTTAGAAAAATTAGTTAGTCAACATTCAAGATGGCACATTAAGCTCTTGTTTGGGAATAGATAATAGCGGTTTAATTATAAATAAATAGAAATGAGTGGCGGATAAGTATTTAGTACTTGTGCTTCCCAAAAACTTGTGGATAAAAAATAGGTTTGACCGATTATGTTTATAAATAAAATAGGTGTCAAACAAGGGCTAAGAAATGAGCTAATATTTCAAGGTTTGATTTATGTTTTGCTTCTTCTTTTTTGTTTATTTTAGAGAGATACGTGTATTTGATCAGCAAAATAATATTCATACGTTAGTTGACATGGCCTGAGCTTAGTTTGAGTTTGTTGAAGCACATAAGTTGGAACATTGTGGTTCTCCTGCTGGCAGACTTACAATTTGCTTAATGTATAGACAGTTCTGTTATTAGCTCAGTTCTGGAATCTGCATTTTATTGAACTTCTTAATGGAACAATTTTTTGAAACTTGACGTTTAAGTACTTCTATAATTTCTATGGTACTTTCAGGCTGAATCTCTTGTCAAAAATCATCATGACATGGGGGAGACAATGGGTCAATTGGGACTGGCTTTTGTGAAGTTAACCAAGTTTGAATCGGAGGAAGCTATTTATGACTCTCAAAAAGCATGTGCTGCAGACATGAAAAATGTGGCAACTGCCGCTGTCAAAGCAAGCAGATTGTATCGGGAATTAAATGCTCAAACTGTCAAACATTTGGTAAAATCATTTCAGTATTTCTTTCCTTGTATAATTTGGCTTTCAATAGATCATATAGTAAGTTTTAGTTGTTAAAGAATTGTTGTTGTTGTGTGTGTGTTCTTTTTGATTCATGCTTCTGTCATGCTGCTGATTTCTGTAACTGAAATGACACTTCTTTAATTGAATGCATTTGATTCATAGAAAGTAAGTTTTTTTTCTGCTCGTCCTCGTGCATGTCCTATTGATCTAACTCATGTTATTTGTGCAGGAAAAGCTTCATGAATACCTTGGGGTGATGCTAGCTGTAAACAATGCATTTTCAGATCGAACAAGTGCTTTGCTGACGGTGCAAACTCTTAAATCAGAATTGTCATCTTTAAATTCAAGGATTGAAAAGCTCGAAGCTGCTTCATCCAAGATATTTGGTGGTGATAGATCTAGGATTCGGAAGATAGAAGAGCTGAGAGAAACTGTTAGAGTAACTGAGGAGGCTAAAAATTGTGCAGTCAGAGAATATGAACGGATAAAGGTAAGGTCTTTAATCCTAGTAATCTAATGAAGAAACTACTATAGCTATTTGATTTGTGTGCCTGATACTGAGTTCTGCATTTCTTTCTAAATTTCAACATCTGTGTTTTCCCTCTTTCATCGTGTCAAAGTTTTTATGTCTACGATTATTGCCCTTGTTGCCGTTGAGGTGAATTAAATCAAGTTGCTTCACTTTCCTCTTCTGCATTAGAAGTCATGTGATTTGGTGCCTCTAGCATTGCCTGTCAAAGAAATAACCAAAAAAGATCACTATGGTTAAGGCATTAGAGGTGTGGTTGGAAAAGAATTACTAAAACCCAGCAATAATGTTTTGAAAAAAGCACCTCTTTGTTAGAGTTGAAGACTCAAATCATCCAAAAAAATATGATTAATAATTATGCTGCACATGCTATGTTTGGAGGTTCTATATGATCTGTATTCTCTCTCTTCCAACATATCTTTGCTAAATGGGGTTTGTAATTTTACAGGTTAAAAGGTAAAGAACTGCGTAATAAATAAAAAAAAATTAAGGGGTACTGAAAGCTGGACAAGTTGAGTCAATGGAATAGATAGATAAAAAGGTCAGGGAAATATTATTTTTCTTTGTCCACATATTCCAGATTTGAAAGTTTGAGATGTGACGTTGGGGCTGCTTACATCTCTGTCGCATGTACAAGTTTATAAGGAGGTTTGGTGATGGTTATGGGGCTGGCGTAATGTAATTAGAGGTCACCTGGATTGGTGACATTTGTTGGGTATTCTACTTTAGTACTTTTATAAATGACTTTCCAGTGGACCCGATTGGGGTTGATATTGGGTGTTAAAGGGAAGGAATGTTGGGGCAGGATTTGTCATGGCCACGAGTTTTGTATGGGCTGACCAAGACTCGGATAGCAAAATGAGAGTCCACTGTCGGCTATCCATTTTAAAATTCTAATCTTTATGTTTTCATTGAGTGAAACGTACATGTCAAAACAAACAACAGTTGGCTAAAAACTCTCCTACGTATTTGAACTATACAATGTCCTAGCATGTACAAACAATTGACCAAATGATACTAGTAAATTCAAATTATTACATAAAATATAGCTAGTTATATACACTAAATGAAGGATACATCAGATACTCTAAATTTAGGACTCAGAACTCACCTCAAGTTAGTAAATTTCTTCCATTTCCAGGATTCTCACCTCATAATTAAATGTTGGACTAATATTTCTCTAGTGAAGATGACAGCCAGGTGTGTCTTGGAGGAAACAAAAGGAGCACAGATTAGAGCATTTTAATTTTCTCTTCGATGAAGTATCAGTCTGTTTCTATGTGCTTGGTTCTTTCTTGTTCTAGCTAATTTTGATAGTTTGCTGTGTGTACAATGCTTGTTGTGGTCTTGTTATTAGAATGTAGCCTTATCGTCTCTCCAATTTTAGACATCTAGTTGTCCCAATGAGTTTTTTTTTTTTTTTTCAACTTTTTGGACGAGGTTTTTATCTCTGCGAGTTTATAAATTCTTAACGTTATGGCTCAAAATGTGGCTTCACCACCAGCATTCTGGATTTCGCTCCTCTATGTTACTGAATTGCTGCCCAAAAAGGTAGAATTTCCTCAGGTAGACCTTCTATAAGTCATGGAGACTACACGAACTGTATTCAACTCTCATACGAACACCTTTGAAATAAAAAGCTTTTAACATATCAAATTATTCAAAACAACATCCATGCGATTTTCAAAGGGAGTATGCATGAACTAGCTTGGCAATATAATGTTTGGGCTTAGGTGTGAAATAGATGGATCAATTTCCCCAGAAGTTTTTGAATCCACCTTTGTCAGTGGATTTCCTTCTTAACAAGCACCCAATCATCAATTTGGATCTACAGGATGTGTGAAGTCCTGCATCATGTCATGTTAGTTTCATTTAGTGGATTGAGGATATTTTTATGAGACAGGCATATCCCCTTCTTTAACCTTATCAAGTCCATGTCAAGAAAGTGTCCAAGTTTGCCTTAAGTTCATTACTGAGTTTCGTGGTCAACTTTTCTTTCATCCTTTGTATTGAGCCAAACCATCTCTAGTGTCTATGATATCATTAACACACAATAGAACACTGATGTTCTCATGAGATCTCCTTATAAACATAGTTTGAATGATTGAATCTGATATCCTATCTAAGGAATTAAAGGCCTTAATTTTCCTTAGCATTATTAATCATCCTTTAGGTAGTGAGATCCTATAAGGTATAATTGAAAATTTGTAATTTTGCTGCTGGATAACATATTACAAGACATTTTTTGTCAGAAATGTGGAACTGAAGTTAGGGTGTTTAGAGATAAGATAAACATTTCCTTGACCACTGGTAGGAGTGAAACCATCAATAACACGCACTTTCTCTTAAAGAAATTTATTTGAAAAATAGTGTTCATACAAAGGTGGAAATTTATTTATTTATTTTTTTAAAAAAGGCCTTGTTTTTGTCTAAATTGTCTTAAATATCTTTACTATAAATGACATTCTTCTTTTCAAATTAGTCAAAGACTTGACAGAAGACATTTTTTTTTTTTGAACATGTAGAACTGAAGTAGGGGCCTTTTAGAGATAACATAGACACATTTCCTTAACCACTAATTGTTGTGAAACCATCAGTAACAAGCATTTGTTTTTAAAGAGGAATTTTTAAAAAAGCCTTCGGACAATGTGAAAAATAGCTATAGGTTTTGTTTTTTATGTCTTTACTATAAATAACATTCTTCTTTTCGAATTAGTCAAAGACTCAAAGTTGACATGAACTTAATCAAATCAACCCCAATACGGTCAAAATTGACCCCCATTTTTCTGCCAAATTACTGCAGTACAAACACAGGAAAGGGTGGGGGCTGTGGCAGGGTCGCAGTGGGTATATGTCAATAGGTGGAGGTAATCTCAATTGAGGATAAATTAGGGAAAGGAGTAGATAGTTTGGACATATATTGTGTAGACATAAAGAAACTCTAAAACACGAGGAATTCTCAATTTTGGTAGAACGTGTTAAGGGAGGAGAGTTGTACAAATTTTTCTTGTCCTGAATTTATGGTGAAAGGTTTGCTTTATTGTACTTACAATGGATGTAGCATTTGATCAGACAGTGTTGATAAAGGATTCTTGTAGCCAACAAATTTATTGGAATAGTGATTAGTCCGATGCTGTCACTTTGTGGATTGCGGGACATGTACTTTAACTGATTTCATTAAGATTAAATGACGAGTAGAAGATTATGTTACGTTGCACGAGAAGCAGAAATGTTGATTAATGCATTTTCATAATCATTCTTGCTCCAATAAATGCTATTGCAAAAGATTTGGGAATATACTTCACTGAGAAATTGCTCATAGTTCATACGGTTTAGTATTTAATTTTTCCTGGTTATAGTTTCTAGAGTTTGATGCAATCGCTTGTTATCGAAGTTCTTTCTCCATTTACACAATAAAGTTTTAATGTTGGCAGAAGGGGGCAGTTGGGAAGGTAAAAACACTTGTCAAATTCTCTGTCACAGTCAGATCGCGTATTAGAATTGACTCCCGGAACTTGATAGTGGACTAGAATAAATGGACGAGTTGTATTTATACCTTTCCAAACTTGACAAAATACAGAAGTATCATTTTCTCCATATTATTATTATCATCTATATGCAGGAAAATAACAAGAATGAACTTGAGAGACTAGACAAAGAGAGGCAAGATGATTTCTTAAGCATGCTCAAAGGATTTGTTGTTAATCAGGTACCTATTTTCCGTTCTGTTATTGGTGCTGCAACGGTTTGGCATCATGATTTGATGTTAATTTTGAAATTTGAACATGGAATGGTCGGTCTCATGACTTGTCATTCGCTATGGCCTTTTTTGGAGCAACCTGAGCTTTATTAACAAGAAATGTCTTTTCCTTTTTGAAATGAAAACTGTTATCTTTGATGTTAGCAGGCAGGATATGCAGAGAAGATGGCAAACACTTGGGAAACAGTTGCAGAAGAAACTAGTGGATATGTGAAATAGCTTAAGTGCTGGCTGTAAATATTAGCCCTTTCTCTATTCTCTCCCCTACCCCGTCCGTCCATCCTATGTACCGATCCACTTTAAGGCTCAAATGTAATACAGGGTTAGGTAGCTAGCTGTTGTTCATTGGAAGTTATTTACAGTGTGTTATTTAAACATTTGGTTAAGGTTGATAACTGTTGCATAGAACATGCGTTTGCGTAATAGATTTTAGTTGTTTTAGCTATGCAGGCCTAATATCTGGGACCGCGATGTGACAATTTGATGCGTTCTGCGTAGTCCGTAGTTATAAAACCAACAAAAGACTTTGATTGCTTTGAATTATAATAAACTGTAAAGAAAGCAAGAGAAATCAATACGCTGTGTGCCAAAACTTCCCTTTTACTTCAAAAAAAGGAGATGGAATTAAGAGGGATTCCACAGCCTTTCTTACAGACGCCACAAAGCAATGCAGAAAATTCACAAAAATTACAAGAATGAAAGAATCTTGATGGACCAAAAGAGTACTAACTGAATTCACGACGACCTTTTAATCACTTGTTGAAGGGACTGCTACTGCTCCAACATCACCACCAGAACTGGTAGCTGTTTCTGGTCTAAGCTCTTCCAGTTGCTGGAGAACTTGATGTACTTCAGGTCGAGCGGATGCCGAAGGATCAACACAGTGCAAGGCCAGTTTCAATGTGTGCAACAACTCATCACCAATTACTGAGCCATCCTTCATCAACTCCAAATCAAAAACTTCATTAGTCCACTCCTCTTTCACAATGGAGGCAACCCATTGAGGTAAATTGACGCCATTCATTGCCTCTCCCGGAGACTTCCCAGTGAGAAGTTCCAATATGATGACCCCAAGGCTGTACACATCAGTCTTGGTGGTGGCTTTCTTAAGCTTTGAAAGCTCGGGTGCTCTGTAGCCTAATGCTCCTGCCGTTGCAATTACATTTGCATTTGCAGCAGTTGTCATTAGGCGCGAAAGGCCATAATCTGCAATATTTGCATTGTTATTTTCATCAATCAGAACATTGTTTGATGTAAGATTTCCGTGTATAATGTTCACATTTGTGTGAAGGTAGAGCAACCCTCTTGCCATGCCTTTCGCTATGTTCATCCTAGTCGGCCAATCAACCGTTATATCGGAGCCATGAGCTGCAATAAAAAGATAACACATTGTAAGCCAATCATAGGATCGAAAAATGAAACTAGACTCGATTTCACTCACCGTGAAGAAAAGAAGTCAAGCTTCCTTTAGGCATGTAGTCAAAAACTAAGAGCATTTCTCCTTTTGGACCTAGATAGTAAGCTCTAAGGGCTAAAAGATTAGGATGTCTGATTTTCCCAAGTGAATTGACCTCTGCTTCAAATTCCCTCTGGCCTTTGGTTATCTTTTCTCTCAATCTCTTCACAGCAACTTGACTACCATCTTCCAATGTGGCCTTGTACACTGTTCCATAAGTGCTTTTGCCCATAATCTCTGCAGTGGCACACAAAAGATCATCTGCAGTAAAAATCATAGGGCCATCAAAATGCACAAGCTTCCCTCCTGTTTCTCCACTTGCTTCAACTTCACCAGCAGTTGGTGGAATACCCTTTTCACCCCGGGCCACAGCTGCCCTTCCTGCAGCCTGACCACCCTCAGCGTCTTTTGCCGCAGCTCTTTTCCTTATCAAGCAGCAGAGCAAAATGCAACAAAGTATAAGTAAAATTATTAGGAGAGCCCCTGCTGCAATGAGAATAATGTCTTTAGTACTTAGTTTTCGGCCTTGCTTCTTCAGCGCTTCTGGTGATGGAGCTGGGGGAGCTTGGAAGGGTGAAACCAGACAAGCTGTTGAAGAACTATACCCACATAGTTCAAGATTTCCCACAAAAGCTCTTGAATCAAATTTGCGAGAAAGCTTGGCTGGAACAGGACCAGAAAGTTTGTTATATGAGACATTAAAGGAATTAAGATTGAGTAAATCACCCAGAGAAGTTGGAATTTCCCCACTAAGATTGTTAATTGATAAATCAAGCTGCCTAATTGAAGAAATATTCCCAATTGTAGCTGGAATATGACCATTAAATTGGTTATTCCTCAAATTGAGAACTGATAAATTCTGTAGATTAGACAGACTAGTAGGCAAGCTCCCATTGATGGCATTATATGAGAAATCAACTGTTCTAAGCCTAGAGAGATTACCAATATTACTAGGTAAACCTCCACTCAATTGGTTATGACTAAGTGAAATCTCTTGAAGCTCACTTAACTTCCCAAAAGAAGGAATACTTCCTGAAAGATTGTTGTTCTGAAGAGCAAGGAATACAAGGGAGGGAGATTGTGTAAGACTAACAGGGATTGAACCAGACAAAGAATTGTAGCTAATATTAAGCCTAAAAAGCTTTGTAGAGTTAACAAGACTAGATGGGATTGCCCCAGACAAATAATTATTACCAAGGTCAAGTGTTTGAAGAAGTGGGCATATGCCAAGTGAAGAAGGAATTGAACCAGAAAACCTATTGTTGAACAATTGAACCCCTCTTAAATTGGGCAAAAATCCCAAAGAAGTTGGAATTGAACCACCAATTACATTATCGTGGAGGCTAAGTTTTCTTAAAGCTTGAAATTGGGCAATTTTTTCATTGATTCTGCCACCTAAACCTCTCCATGGAAGCTGGATTACAATTACTTGGCCTTGTGCACATTTGATTCCAACCCAACCACCTGAACAAGCTCCATAGCCACTGTCATTCCAGCTTTTCAAGAAGCCCTTTGGATCAACCAATTCATGTTTAAAGGCTTGGAGGGCTTGATAATCAGCTTCTGTGACAATTATACCATCCCAAGCCTCGCTTGAAACTGGCTGAATCGCACAAATAAACAGCTGAAATACCAAGAAAATCTGAGCAAACAGAAACGGCTTTCTTGAACAACTCAAAGAACAAAAGGGCTTCCATTTTTCCTTCTTTTCATCACAAACATAATGCTGGTAAGTTATTTTTTGTTTTGAAAACTGAATTTCATCAAATGGGCATGCGTAAGAATTTCTCAACATAAAGACTTCTCCTTCCATAACCACTAAGAACTTAAACAAGAAGAAACGTGTGTGAAAGTAAAGAGAAAGCAAGTAAAATCTTTAATTCCTCTCTCTTTTCTTCCTATCCTAGCACAAGAACCTTAGCTTCCAAGAATCCAAACAGAGTAAGGAATAGCGTGAAACGAATTTTGTAGTGACAAGGGGGAGCCAGACGACGTGGGGTTCCTGTGATGAAGCACCTGAAGTATTGAGAGAGAAAGAGGAGAGGGGAATCAGCGACATTCAGATAAATCAAAGGAATCTGAGAACTGGTTTTGGGGGGAGATACGAGAAGTGTTAGGTGTCACATAGATTCATTCAGAGGAGCTGCTTTCCTCATGGCTAACAGTCTAACGGCTAGTTTTTGTGATTTTATTTGCATGAATGAATTATGAATAGGGCACAAATATTTAGGGCTCGGAATTCCAAAAACTTGATTCTATTTTGTTTTATATGAGAGGCCAACGGCTATCTTTTACACGTGAGTCCGCCCCAGTCAATGTTTGGTTCGTGTTAAAATAGGATTTAAAAGGGTTTATATTACCACTATAAAATTTACTTGCTACACCACATTATAGTTACATCACAATTAAAATATATTTTCAATAAATACACCATAATAAATTTACAATTATACTCTTAATCTAATAAAAACTAGAAATGAAAAAAAATATATTGTGGGGTACTCATCACCCCAATATTACTCCTCATTTTTCTCATCGTTTAAACATTTTCACTAATTCTAAAACAAGAATTTGCAGTATCTCAATGTTAATTGCAATGGAGTTACTGCCTAAGAACCCTGATCCGTTGGTTCATAGCCTTTCTAATTGCTTTTAACAAGATTTTAATTGTAATATTATGTTGGATTCTTTAAAGAAAACAATAGATTTCAGCCCTCGCC